TAGAAAAAATAGTTGTTGTTGTAGTACCTTTAGTAGTAGTAGTAGTAGTAGTAGTAGTAGTAGTAGTAGTAGTAGTAGTAGTAGTAGTAGTAGTAGTAGTAGTAGTAGTAGTAGTAGTTTAGTAGTAGTAGTAGTAGTAGTAGTAGTAGTAGTAGTAGTAGTAGTAGTAGTAGTAGTAGTAGTAGTAGTAGTAGTAGTGGTAGTAGTAGTTAGTAGTTAGTAGTAGTAGTAGTAGCAGTAGTAGTAGTAGTAGTAGTAGTAGCTAGACCCATGTTGCGCCCCGAGCCATTCCGAGATTAACAAACTGGGGGGGGGAAACCGTCGGCCAAGTGTTTTCAAGGATCCTAATCCTCGTGCTCCTTCCTCCTCCTCTCCCCCCTCCTCCTCTGTGCCGCCTCCCTTCCCTCCCTCCTCCTCCTCCCTCCTCCTCTTCCTCATCATCATCACCATTATCATCCTCATCATCATCGTCATCAGCTTCATCATCATCCAACTCAGTTTCATCATCGTCATCATCGTCCTCCTCCTCCTCATCCCTCCTCCTTCTCCTCCTCCCCCTCCTCCTCCCCTTCCGCCTCCCCTGGCCCTCCCCCGTTATCCTCCTCCTCCTCCCCATTTGTCCACCAGTCCTTTCCCCCATGATGCTGAGGATGGTGATTCTGATGATGATGTTGATGATGATGATGTTGATGATGCTGACGATGATGATGAAGATGATGATGATGACGATGATGATGATGATGATGGTGATGATGATGATGGTGACGATGATGGTGATGATGCTGATGATGTTGATGATGATGATGGTGATGATGGAGATGAGGAGGAGGAGGAGGAGGAGGAGGAGGGAGTAGGAGGAGGGAAGAAGAGGAGGAGGAGGCGGAGGAGGAGGAGATGCCGATGTTTTTCCTGCGGGTTTACTCGCTAAACCCGTGGGGTTCCTGCGGGGCGCGAGCACACACCACCGCGCAAGATCGCCGACCACCAGAAGAGGCCCACGATGATGAATCCCTGGTGGTCGAAGAGTGCGGCAGCTGCGGCATCTTCTTCCTCTCCATCGGTACCGCCGCCAGCGCCAACGCCTGTCCCATCGCCTGTTGATGGCGCCGCTGAGGCTGACACGCAGATGCTTGGCGCCATCAACAGGCGATGGGACAGGCGTTGGCGCTGGCGGCGGTGCCGATGGAGAGGAAGAAGATGCCGCAGCTGCCACAGCTGCCGCACTCTTCGACCACCAGGGATTCATCATCGTGGGCCTCTTCTGGTTGTCGGCGATCTTGCGCGGTGGTGTGTGTTCGCGCCCCGCAGGAACCCC